CCGAGGTTAGGCATAAGGTTTTGAGTAACTAGGATCACCTATCGGAGCAAGTGATTGACCTCCATAAATTGAGATGGCTAGAGTGTGTTTGGTATGTCACTGAATAGGATCCATCGGCTTGGCACATTTGTTGAGGCAGATGGCGGATGGACGACGATCAAGGGGCAGGGGGAGTTAGAACGAGGAGTGGTCAGCAGGCATGAAAACCTGGACCAAACGACTCAGCCATTTAGGACGCGTTTGGGATCTCGATCGGTGACCTCAGGATCAGTCTCAGCCGCAGCGGTGATTAAAGACACCGAGTGTTATGGCTGAGGATAAAGACTGGAGGTGCTTGAACATCTGACTGATTTCTATGCAAATTTAATCTGACTGAAGTTTTCATCAGCGTCCTACTTTTTCCATCTACTGTTTCAGTGGGCTTCGACTAAATGGGTGACAGAAAGAAAGCAACCAAAACCGCCGCACAGATGTGCACAGTGAATTGTGGTGGTATAAAAGAAACTGAAAGATTCTGACTGTGATTGATAAATGATCAGAATAGGGTTTTCTTAGGGCAGCAGGATGTGCACTTCAATTAAAACTTCATTATTTATTCACTAGTTCAGGTTAGCTATATAAGACGTAAGCGTATGGAGAAATAAGCAACAAATCTAGGCAAGTTAGTGTTTGTTCCATTCGATCGGAACAAGCAAAAGGTTATTATAACTTATATTTTATCTAAAGAGTGTTTGACAATGCACACGATTGAATAGGATACTTAAAAAATAGTCTATGAGAAAAAGGGGTATAACCAGAAGAGAATGACATTCACTCACTTGACNATTTGACATTGACCAAAACCAGTAAGGGTTGGACACCGTTTGGCAGATTGGCTGGTTGTAATCGAGGAAGAATCATGGCTAGAATGGGGCGATCTTCAAACGTACTCTGCTTTAAGACATGATATGCTTCATCCGCTCGTTCCGGGTTCAGATACACGATGACCAAACTGCCGAAATCATAATAGATCACCTCTGATTGACGCGTGTGGCGACGGGAGGAAACCGAGAGCCATGAAAAAAAGAACGATGTCCATTCGCTTAGCATTTCTTTTTCACAGTACAACAAAGATAAAACAGACTGGCTATATCCTTTGGGAGCCGCTACACAACCTAAGTGTGTGC